CCCTCACTCCCCACCCCCCGCCTCACCAACGTGGCCCCCGGCGAACGAGAATCTCATGCAGCTGCTCGTCATGATCGACGCGTGCCGACGTTGTTGGCTAAAGCCATCGCTGCGGTGATTCCGTACTTCGGCTACGCTCGTGCCGACATAAAGGTATGCTTCAGAAAGGTATGCTTCGGAAAGGTATGCTTCCCTCCTTTTGAGCTACGCAACCATCGCGGCTACGCGCGAGCTGTCCGCAAGGTACGCTTCTCTCTCTTCTTCCTCCCTCCCCTGTCCTTCTCCCCCTTCCTACTTCTCCTCCCCTCCGCCTCCTCCTCCCGTCCCCACGTTCTCCCCGTCGCCAGTCGATTGCAGCAAAGCTGGTGGCGAATCTGATCACGGAAGCGGGCGCTAACCGCGTGCTGCTGGGTCTGGTTGCTCCTCTCCTCGTTCTCCACCCCCACCCACTCCCCACTGCCCACACCCCACTCCCCCCCTTAACACACACCCGACTCAAGGCCGCGGGTCCATAGCGGCGAAGCTGGTAGCGAATTTGATCACGGAAGCGGGAGCTAACCGCGTGATGGCTGCTCTCCCCTTCTTCCCGGTCACCACCCCGCACCCTCTCCCCACTCCCCTCTCCCACTCCTCAACCCCCTCCTTTATGCACATCAGACCCAAGGCCGCGAGTCCATTGCAGCGAAGCTGGTGGCGAATCTGACCACGGAGGCGGGCGCTAACCGCGTGCTGGCTCTGCTTGCTCCTCTCCCCAGTCCATTGTTCCCTCTTAACCGATTTGTATCCTAACCACATACCCATACCTCACCTTCTCATCAGACCCGAGGCCGTGAGCCCATAGCGGCGAAGCTGGTGGCGAATTTGATCACGGAGGCGGGATCCAATCGCGTGCTGGCTGCTCTCCCCCTCTTCCCAGTCACCAGACCCCGCCTTCTCCCCACTCCCCTCTCCCCCTGTTAATGCACATCAGACCCAAGGCCGCGAGTCCATAGCAGCGAAGCTGGTGGCGAATCTGATCACAGAGGCTGGCGCCAATCGTGTCTTGGCATGTGACCTGCACTCGGGGCAGAGCATGGGGTACTTTGATATCCCCGTGGACCACGTGTACGGGCAGGTGAGGGTGATGATGGTATGGGCGGGTAATGGGAGAGATAGCGATAGGAGGATGGTGTTAGTGCAGGGGTTAAGGGAGCCAACCGTGTGCTGGCATGTGACCTGCACTCGGGGCAGAGCATGGGGTACTTTGATATCCCCGTCGACCACGTGTATGGGCAGGTGTGTACGGGGAGGTGAGGATGATTGTAGGGGTGGTTGGAGGGGCTTGTAACTGGTCGGGGGAGAAGAGAGGTGGCCTGGCGACCTGCACTCGGGGCAGAGCATGGGGTACTTTGACATCCCCGTGGATCACATGTATGGGCAGGTGGGGGTGAGCAGATGTGTGGCTATGTGTGTCTGGGCAGGTGAGGGTGATTGTAGGGACTTGTGACACTAGTGGTCGAGGAGGACAGAGGGGACTTTCGACCTGCACTCGGGGCAGAGCACGAGGTACTTTGATATCCCCGTGGATCACGTGTACGGGCAGGAGAGGGGGCGTATATGTATCAGAGGAAGCAGCGGAATGGCTATCTGTACGGGCAGGTTAGGTTAGGGTGGTTGTAAGGTTGATTGCTTCGTAGGGGCTAGTAACTGTGGCCTTCTAGGACAGCGCAGCCAGTAAAATGCTCTCACCAAACAGACGTGGGAGGAGTAACCCGGGCCAAGGGCCTTCCTCCCACTCTCCCTCTCCTTTCTCTCCCCCCTAACGCCCCCAACCATCCCCCTCTTCCTCTGGCCGAGACTTTCTCCCCAACGCAACTCAGGCCCTTGTGCCCCTCGCTCCCTCCTCTCCCTCCCCACCCCAGCCGGTGATCCTCGACTATCTCGCCAGCAAGAGGCTTTGTTCAATCGACCTTGTTTTGGTCCCTCCAGACGTGGGGAGTGTCGCCCAGGCCAGGGCCTTCGTCCCACTCACCCTTTCCCTTCCCTCCCCCCTTACCCCCCATTCCCAACCCTCCAAACCCGCTCTCTTTCTCCCCCATCCTCCCAGCCAGTCATCCTAGACGATCTCGCCAGCAAGATGCTCTCTTCCAACGACCTCGTCGTGGTCCCCCCAGACGTGGGGAGTGCCGCCCAGGCCAGGGCCTTCGTCCCACTCTCCGTCTCCCTTCTCTGCCCCCTACCCACCCCCTCCCTCCTCGCCTTCCTTCCCTACAACCCCACCCCAGCCGGTGATTCTAGACTATCTCGCCAGCAAGATGCTCTCTTCAAACGACCTCGTGGTGGTTTCTCCAGACGTGGGGGGCGTAGCATTTCCAAGGGCATTCCAGCACTCTCCCTCCCCGTCCTCCCCTCCCACCCCAGCCGGTGATCCTCGACTAACTCGCCAGGAAGATGCTCTCTTCAAACGATCTGGTCGACGTCTCTCCATTCGTGGGGGGCGTGGCCCGGGCGAGTGCCTTCGCCAAGCAACTCACCTCATGTCCTTGTGCCCCTCTTCCCTCCTCCCCCCCCCCCACCCCAGCCGGTGATCCTCGACTATCTCGCCAGCAAGATGCTCTCTTCAAACGACCTCGTGGTGGTTTCCCCAGACGTGGGGGGAGTAGCTCGGGCGAGGGCCTTCGCGAAGCGCCTATCGGATGCTCCCCTGGCGATTGTGGATAAGAGGAGGCAGAGCCACAACGTGGCAGAGGTGAGAGATTCAGAGGGGAGCAAGGTAGACGGGCAAGGGAAATATTCTCCTCTCACCTCGCCAAGCACCTGTCGGACGTGGAGGGCATGGCTTGGGCCAGGGCCCTTGCTAAGCGCCTGTCGGACGCTCCTCTGGCGATTGTGGATAAGAGGAGGCAGAGCCATAATGTTGCCGAGGTGAGGGGGACAGAGGGGACCGATGTGTGGGGGGGGGGCAAGTGGGGCCATGGCTCGGGCGAGGGCCTTCGCCAAGCGTCTCTCTGGTGTTCCTCTGGCGATTGTGGATAAGAGGCGGCAGAGCCATAATGTTGCCGAGGTGAGAGATGGGCGCGAGCAGGGGAGTGCATTGAGGCGGAGGGGAAGAAGCAGTGATAGGATAGGAGGTGATGCAGGGGGCTATGATCGTGGGTTGTTATGATTGACGTGGGGGGAAGCCTCGCACGCACTCAAAGCTCCAGCCCCACTTCCCCCCATTGCATGCATGCACTAAACAACCCCACACACAACATTCACTTACCCCCTCCCCCCTCCGCCCGTGCTTCCCTGCATCAGGTGATGAACCTGATCGGAGACGTGAAGGGCAAGGTAGCGGTGATGGTGGATGATATGATTGACACAGCCGGCACGGCTGCTGAAGGCGCTTACCCCCCTTCCCTATCAGCTTCTTCCTCCATCCCTTTGTCCCCTTCTGCCCATCAGGTGATGAGCCTGATTGGAGTGTCAAAGGCAAGGTGACAGTGATGGTGGACGATATGATCGACACGGCCGGCACGATTGCCGAAGGCGCTTATTCTCATTCCCTCTCGATTCGTCCCTCTCATCTTCTCTTTCTCAACTCCTCCCTCTCAACTCCTCCCATGCGCCCATCAGGTGATGAACCTTATCGGAGACGTGAAGGGCAAGGTGGCAGTGATGGTGGATGATATGATTGACACGGCCGGCACCATTGCTAAAGGCGCTGCTCTGCTGCACGAAGAAGGGGCGAGTGAGGTCTACGCATGCTGCACTCACGCTGTCTTCAGGTGAGAGTGATGTGTTCTCTTCAGGTGGATTCCGTAGCAAGTGATTCTTCTATCAGCAGTGATTGACAGAACCACCACCATTGCCAAGGGCGCCGGGTTGCTGCATGAGGAGGGGGCTTGTGAGGTGTATGCGTGCTGCAATCATGCTGTGTTCAGGTGAGTTGACTTCTATGAATCCTGGGAATGTTGTGAGATTGTCTAAGGGCGTTTTACTCACCTATTACCTGATCTTATACTTCCACAGGGACAGGAGGTTAACAGACACTTTATGTCACCCACCCATCCCATCAAAACCGCATTTTACCCCGAAGCCACCACAACCCCACATCTTCTCGTTTCGTTGGGTGACTCCGAATCGGACCTTGGTCCCTTGGTCATTGGGTGACTCTCCGAATTGGACCTTGCCATGAGCTGACTGTAACAAACGTTTTTCCCTCACCTCCTGCACAAAAATCAGGTTTCCTAAAACTTATCTCAATCGTTCTTTATGTTTTTTTTCTTCTTCTTTTTTCTTCTCCTTATCCCACAGCCCTCCCGCCATTGAGCGACTGTCTAGCGGGCTGTTCCAGGAGGTGATAGTGACCAACACGATTCCGCTGACCGAGGATAAACTTTTCCCGCAGCTGACCGTGCTGTCGGTGGCCAATCTGCTGGGAGAGACCATCTGGCGCGTGCATGATGACACCTCGGTGAGCAGCATTCTGGGCGACCTGTAGCTCCTGCATTTGTGTGGCGCCTCAAAAGTCTGCATTGTAGTTCAGGTACTGTAAAACTTATTTCATATATCATGCTTACTGGTATTACGAGAGGCCCTTTGTGCTAGCTGCTTCTGTTTTGTATCTGTCTGGAAGGATCGTCTTTCTCATTCAATGTAATCTCCCTGTTATTTTGAATCGTCTGAATCTGTGCTCTTGGAATTACAGTTGTCTTCAGAGCAGCACCCAGCAGCAGCTGGCATGGACATTGACTGAGTACGGTGCACACCACACACCTTTTTTACCAGAGTTTAACCTGCAATTACAAGCTGTGTATTCAGGTGTCCAATTGTGACCATTTTTCCAGTTGAACTGCCTGCTGCTGCATACTGTTTAGTCATGCTTGCAGACGCATATGGTACTTAGCATGCACGCTCATGCACCTACTTAAAATAAACCCATTTGTGGTGATTAGGGTATGTAGCTTGAAATAATGAATAAATGCTAGGCTTGAATATCTGGTGGTGTCCTCTAGCACCAAACGGCGATCTCAGGCTCATCTGAGCCATGGGTGTTGGAGCAGCTCTTTACAGGATGGGCGCTGAGACGGATTCACGGTGAGCATTTTCTTGACCAACTGTAGAGCATCAGCAGAGATCAGACGCCATGGTCCAGAAACCAGGTCTGGCTGTGCAGCACATATCATTTTCTTCATCATGCTCTTCTTAGGCGAATAAAACGGCCACTTTCCTGCCAGCATAGTGTAGAGGATTACTCCCAGGCTCCAGACGTCCACCTTCTCGTTGTATTTCAATCTGCAAAGCAATTCAGGAGCTGTGTAGGGGTGACTTCCTGCGGCTCCTTGAACGAAGCCTTCTCTCCTGCAGGGGACAGCCTGGCCGAAATCTGTGAGCTTAACTTGCTGCCGATGTGTGATGAGGACGTTTTCAGGCTTGAGGTCGCGATGAATCACACCACGCTCGTGGCAAAACGCAACGGCTGTCACCAATTGGCGGAAGATTTTCGCAGCTTCGTCTTCAGGAACCTGTCCCTTTCTGCTTATATAACTCAAGAGGTCACCACCTGAGCATTTCTCCATAACGAAATACACGGCTGTAGGGTCCTCGTAGACTCTTTGCAGAGACACTACATTGCAATGGCATCCCAGTTCCCGCATGGTCTGCATTTCCCGTCTTAATTCCCACTTGTCCTCTTCATTCCTGATTAATTGCTTCTGAATTACTTTGCAGGCTAGGCATTCACCTGTTTTCTTCTCCACGCATTCGAATACCGAACCGAATGTCCCTTTACCGAGGACGTCACCGAGTGAATAGAGATCATCGGGGAACTCGGAGGTCCAAGGAATCACTCGATTCGACGAGTTTTCAGAAAACCACGGAATAAAAACCATCACGGAATAAGTATTTGATTGGGAACACACGACGGCTCCGTCGAATGCGAATGGTAACGTTTCGAGTCGAGCTGTGAAAGTTATTAGTACTTGTTGCTTGCTGAAATCTGGAAGTCGAAAGGGATACCTCACAGCAGAATGCTCGTGATTCGTGCGTACGATCTAGACTTGATCAGTTTGTAGATGCTGTGGGTTGTTGCATGCAGCACACCAGACCAGGCCTCAGGATTGCAGGGCATTCTACCCTGATTAGCCTGTTTTTAAGGGTGGTTTTTTTGAACCGCACTGTAAATACAGGTTTCAAGGGTTCTACCACCCTGTCACGATCAGGCCTCGTGAAATTATCACCCTTGTTTTGCAGTTGTTGGTTTGTTTAGCACACTGCCTTGGCCGAGTTCGGTAGCGGCAGCAGTCTGACTGAGATTTGTCTTCCCTTAGCCAATCGTATGCTCGCGTCAGTTCCAGCTATTGGCCCATTTTTCTTGATTTCATCAAAAACCTCGAAAACTGGCTAAGTCCTTTCCACAGAGACACTCACGCATGCAACGCGTCAAGCATCGGATGTGCTCGAAAACTGGCGAAGTCCTTGCAGCGTATTTTTTTTCCCACCCTACTATACCAGACCAGAAAATATTCAACACCCTGCCATTTCTAGGGTACGACGCGGCAGCCACACTGCAGTGGCAGTGTGACTTTGACCTGGAACTTTGATTTGGCAGGGTGGCCCAAAACGAATCGAGACCCCTGCACCAGACACTGCTTTCTGCTGCTTCAGCTTACCCGGAATACTGACCTGATCCAAGCTGAAGAGTGAAGAGCACAGAGACGACGAATTATGTGGCTGGGCTGCCTACACGATTGATCGGATCTGGCAGTTTGACGGCTGCGATGGATTCGGCGCGATAACAGCGAGGACGATGTGCTGGTGCGGGTTCCGCCCTCGTCAGCACAGGGCTACGCTTGCGCAGTGCGCAGCTGGTGGTGGCGTAAGGAGATGCGGGTGGGTCCACACAAAAAGGCGTGGCCAGTGGTGGCCGAGTTATGGGGTTTGGAGGAGCGAACAGCCAGTCAGTGACGAGATCTGCGCCAGCTAGGTGGTGGAAGTGGATCCGCGAGCCATTGCTTGCTCGTGGACTGACGGTGACTGACTTGGGCTGGAGGTGTTTGACATCTTTCTGACGCATTCCACCTCAACCATCCTGTGGTGTGCTCTCTAATGGTGTCCGCGTTTGTATTTTACTGGCTGGAGTTCATCTCTCCATGCTGAGTTGGGAATCAGATATCTCACAGATTCCGTGAACACATTCAGCCATCCCCGTCAGAAGCACAACCCGTCAGTTCATATTCATTATTACTGCAATCTGTTGAGCATAACTTGATTCGTGAGCATCATACGTATCACTGCATCAGTTGCAAGCGGGTCTTACCGTATGAGGCGGTCATAATTCTGTCGGTTGTTTGGTTGGTCGGTGAATCCGCCTTTTTCACCCTTTGCGACCCCTGACACAGAATGGGGTAGGGCCACCTATCCATCCAAAAAGCACGCATGATGAATGCATTCCGTGACACATCAACGGCACAAATGCCTAAGACCAACAATACATGAAAATAAACCTTCCATCATGATACCTTACACTGTATTTCCACAATCAGGTTTGCGCTAAGAATTACACTTACGACATTGGGAAGGGAATCAATCGATCAGTTCATCTCGTGCAAGCTTTGACCATTGTGTTTAGGGAGATCGAGACGCAATACCCAACTACAATCAGGGAGACACAACGCAACGGCTTCTGGGATGAATGGGTGGGTGAAATTTTGGGTGTGCGACGCGAACTCTCAATCCGCGCCTCGATAGTAAAACATGGCGGCGAGCAAAAGTGAGCCACGATCCAAATTTCACCAGCTTGGTGGATTGCGCACATCACATTGCATCGTGACTCGTGAGTCGTGAATCGTGAAGAAGAGGGAAGCACTTCACTTCCCTTCTCTGGAGCAAACTATGCTGCTCGAATTCCTTCACTGTACCAAGAAGCACCGACACATACCACCACCCTTCCTACCTCTTTCCCCGAACAACGTCTTAGCAGAGGCGACAAATGCGCTACGGGGAATTTCCCCAGTAAACCCGTCCCTCCACCCAACCACCACCCCACGGTAGCCTCTCGTTATGGCCCTTCAGCTAATGGCGGCGTGGTGCGAGCTATCGAATTCCCACTAGCTCCTCCTAATCGCATCATAAATACCGTACATTCCTGCTCTCCTCGTCCGTTCCGTCCAGTGTAACTCATTTTCTGAGGAGCCTCAGAATAGCTTTCAGCGTGACTCCATTCTTAGGCGCCCTAAAAACAGTTTACAGTGCGACTCAGTTTTTTAGGCGCCGTAAAATCAGCTTGCAGTGCGACTCCGTTTTTCAGGCGCCTTTTAACCAGGTTACAGTGTGACTCCAGCTACCTGCTAACTGCTTTCAGAACCCAACGTTCACTAGGTATCACAGAAATTGAGCCATTCGTACTAGCCTCGTGGGGTTGAAATTGGTCGTTATAGGTTCGATCCGCCACCTCTACCACTGGCGCCGCCGCCATGCTGCGTCACCTGTTTCTCGCAGCGATGCTGCTGGCTGCCTCGTTTGCCGGCTCCGCTAGTGCAGCGCCACGGCTTGTAGGGCAGAAGGTGGCGGGTCCAGCAGTAGTAGGCACGGGAGCGGACATTGTTGTTGCGAAGGACGGGAGCGGCGGTTACAGCACCGTTAAGGTACTCCCACATAGCGCCTCTCGCATCGCGCATCCCCATCACGGCTCCAATTGGCGTTTATCACCAACGCCGCTGGGGCCTATGCAGTCGCGGTTACAATCGACATTTCTGGGCTCATTGAGTCGTTTCCCAGTCGTCATTCGAATACGTATCCCCAGGGTCATTTTGTGCGTCTCCTGTTCGTCTTACACTTACGGGCAGCACAGGTTGCTGCCAACTACAGTTTATGAAGCGCCTCAGAAATGAGATGAAATTTCCACCGTCCCCCCTTCTGCCGCTCCTGTTCTTCCTGCATTGACAGGATGCAATTGCTGCTGCGAAGTCTGGTACCGCAAGCCGCTACTTCATCATTTTCATCAAAGCAGGGGTGTATAACGAGCAGGTTATAGTAAGTTCATCATTTTCATCCTAAACCCACACTCGAGTCATGTTAAGTTGCATCTGCTCCGCAACCAATAGAGCATCTTGATTACTACCTCCTTCTCGCCGTAGAGAAATTCCTGGCCCCTTGTTCGACACCGTTCATCGTCACTCCGTCTTTCCATGTGACGAGCTTGTTCCCAAACTTGCCCCTTGTTCGCCCGCCGCTTCGCACGATCGCAGCTACCCGCGTCGCTGAGATTCATCGGGCTCGTGGGCGAGAACGGCACGAAGATTTCGGCGGCGAATTCCTCGGGGGAGTCTAACCTAAACGATTGCTCCACATTCCAACTGTTGGCGTCGGACGTGGTTGTTTCAAACATTATCTTCGAAAACGCGCACGGGCCGGGCGTGCAGGGCGGGTATGTTCTTTCTCTTAAGTTTAGTCAATTCCTCGGGGCAGTCGAACCTGAACGATTGGGCCACATTCCAAATGCTCGCGTCAGACGTGGTCGTCTCAAACATAATCTTCGAAAACGCGCACGGACCTGGCGTGCCGGGCGGGTACGTTTCTTTTTTTTATTATTATAGTCGACTCAAAATTGCAGTCCAATCTGAACGACTGCTCCACGTTCCAACTGCTCGCGTCGGACGTGGTCGTCTCAAACATCATCTTTGAAAACGCGCACGGACTGGGCGTGCAGGGCGGGATTGTCATCTGAGGAGTCTGTACCGTGCCATGGCCTGTGACGTTTCATCCATTCGTTTCACTTGTCACTCGTGTCTGGTACACGAAGTTTGGAACGACTTACAACGGCTAAACACGGCTCAAAAACGGCAAAACCTACTCACGTGCTCGTCTCGATTGCACTTGCTCGTCTCTGCGCACCCAATGACAGGCAGGGCGACCGAGCTGTGGCCGTGAAAGCGAGTTGAATTCGCGATTTGCTTGTTGACCTAACTCACTCACTTGCTCATCGTTATTCCACTTGCTCGTCGCTGTGCAACGAACGACAGGCAGGGTGACCAAGCCGTGGCCGTGAAAGCCGCCGGGACCCGCGTTGCTTTCTACGGATGCACGTTTCTCGGGTATCAGGACACCCTGTACGCGGTATCAGGACTTCAGTACTACAAGAATTGCGGTAAGTCGTGGTCTTACAATCAGAGCACCCAGTGACTGCTTTCCTCGATTTGCGGGGGTGTCTGGTGCATACGGGACGATGTCCTCACTCGTTTCCTCCTCTTCCTTGCTCACCTCCTGACTCATTCCTCCTTCATTCTTCGCTACCGTATTCTTCCCCTCGTTCCGCCTCTACTCCCCAGTCATCCAGGTCCGCGTGGACTTTGTCTTCGGCAATGCCAAGGCGCTCTTTCACAATTGTCAATTCAACCTAGTGTACTGGGGCGGCGATTACTCATCATTTCCTCATTTCTTCGCGCTCCTGACCCATTACTCCTTCCCCTCATTCCGCCTAACCCCAGTCATCCAGGGCCGCGTGGACTTTGTCTTCGGCAATGCCAAGGCGCTCTTTCACCACTGCGAATTCAATTTGGTATACTGGGGCGGTGGTTACTTCGCACAGTCTCGGGAAAAGGGCGACGACACTGGTTACGTAATTCTCGGAGGTTCCCTGAGTCCCCTTGGGAAAGGCCCGATCAAGCCCGGTTATTTGGCGCGGTCCTGGGGTAAATACTCTACCACGATTTTCGTGAACACGTATTTCGCAGCAGGGTCAGTTCGCCCTGAGGGGTGGGGTTACGTGCAGGGTAACAAGAAGCTGCGACACGTAACCTTTGCAGTGTACGGGTGTTACGGTCCCGGTTACGACACCTCGAAGTGGGAAGATACGGCGATAATATTAACTGCGTCAAAAGCAGCGCCGTATTCCAGCATAGCGTATGTAAACCAGGGAGGTTGGATTACCGACCCTAATGTGCTGGTGCGCGGTGTGGGAGGGAAGGTGGACAACAACGGTGGTGATGGAATCAACGTCACTGCTGGCAACGGCCCTGCTAACAATGCCTCGTCCTCCTCACCGTATCCAACCCCCCCACCCGCTTCGACCAGCAAAGATGACAAGAAGAGCAAGAAGCGGGATAAGAGGAAGCGTAAAGATGACTAGGAGGCGAGGAGTCAAGGGCAGCAGGGTGTTGCTTGATATGCAGCGCAGGAATGACTTTGCTCGGAAGAGGATACCTAAACATTGTTGTTAATAGGATGATGCTGGATATTGCAAGCCAATACATTGAATGACAACAAATGCAAACGTTTGTATACAATGTGTATGAGGCTTTTAGTAGACTACGTTTACTTGGCCTGAAAAAAAAGCCCCATTCCAAGTAGATGTACACAAGGGAATATAGTTGTCCCTCCATTTATTTCGACCCATATGGCTTCTACCGTATTCTGAAATCAAAGTGGGGAATGAAGGGGGTGAATGTGAGCTGGGTCCTCCGTGTGCAGGGCTTTTGCTAAGTTTTTGGCCCGTCTGATATTTTTGTTAAAAAAAAATATATTCCTGATATCCAGCCCACACCGTTTCAGTGTAGCTTAGTATGTTTTAGTACCATGAGTCATTGACACAAGTATCGAAACGTGATTCTACGGTCCCTGTCAGCCAGGGCATTTCACACCTGCACCCTGCCGGTTCCTCCGGTGTGGTGAGGCTACGATTTCCTCACGGCAATTTCAATTGCTCCCAGCATCACCTGCACGACGACCAAGCTAAAAGCGCATCCGTTTACAGTCTTGCCCGTTTTACGCTTTTAAATCCTGCTGGAACATATTTTTTTATCAGCGTGAGGAAATTTGAGGACGAGAGGCCAAGCTGCGTGTGACCCTGGGATTTGCCGCAAGAACCAACGATGTTGGTGAAAATCGAGTGGCGGGTACTCAGTGGCGTCAGCTCCACGCATCCAGGACACCCTTGAAATTTCCGATGACTAGTTCGTAGTCCCATGTCAAAGTTACAAGTCTGCGTGGCGTGCCCTGGAGTTACAATCAGAGGTAGCAAATCCGCAGCCACGTGGAAGTTCACTTCAGAGGTCCCAAGGTGGGGCCCGTCTCCTTTGGAGCACCGGGCCCGTTGTCGAACTTCTTGGCTGTCGAATTTGCCTCGACAACATCGGAGATTCTGCTTCAAAGCTTGGTTTGCGGTCCTTATGATTTTTATATGCTATATTTCCATTCGGACACTCGTTTCAGAATAGTGCACCATCGCCAGACACCTCGGGTTGCAACACTTGTTCAATACACATATTTTTCTGTGTCCGCCATGAACAAGACCAATTGCCTGTTATGCCGAAAGGAAGGCTGCTGCAACATTGCTTATGTGTGCACAGCTTGCGGAAACCTGCACAAGGGCTTGGTTAACAAAGCCCCGCAATCTCAGCGACAACACAATGCGATTTGGAAGGGAAACTAGCTAAGTTCCAATGCTTTGCTCAGAAAGTCGAGGGGATGTGGGATGCGAGGTTTTGCGATGTGATACTGCGACCACGCGAAGGAGAGAGTGTTGTAGCTCATCGCTGCATTCTCGCAGCATGGTAGTTTCCTTATTTCATTCCCCCCGAGCAGGCCGCATCAAGTTTACAAGCTAATTTCTCCATATTGTGTGTTCATAACACACAAAATATGTCCACTTGCTGATCCTCCATTTATTACTTGTAGGTCACCCGTTTTTTATAGAATGTTCAAGAGTGGCTTTGAAGAAGAGACCAAGAGCACTGTTCACATACAAGACATAGACGGCCCTACACTAGAGAAGCTTGTTCTGTTCATGTACTCAGGCGAGATACCTCTGAATACTGCTACCATGCAGGTGAGTTAACAAACTTTGAGCTGTCAAATGATATATCTGCTATATATGTTTAGGCTGTAGTGGGGTAGCCAATATGGGGTACAACCCCTTTTAGGGTTTCATATTTGTACCCAACTCTTTCATAGTTCATCCATTCCTGCTGCTAGATTCTGACATGGTTTAAGAGCACTAGGTCCGTAGGATCGACTTTTTTTTCCGGACCCACCTACCGTTGCGGTTACCACGCTACCCCACGTGTTGCCTGCCTACCTGCCTTGCCTTGTGACGTGCTGCGCTGCGCGCGCCGTCCTGCAGCCCTAGCGCTGCCTACTGCTGCCCTAGGCCAGAGCGCAGCCCCTACAGGCCCGTAAGGCCCGCGCGCTGCCCCTGCAGACCCGTACGCCCCGCACGTCGCCCCTGCAGGCCCGTCAGGCCCGCTAGCCGCTCGGCCCTACTGCGGGAGGCGCTGGTGCTGGTGACTTTGCTACTGGAGTTGTTTCTACTTGAGGTTCTGGAGCTGGAGGTTCTGGAGCTGCTGGAGGTGCTGGCGCTGGTGGCGCTGGAGCTAGGGGTTCTGGAGCTGCTGAGGGTGCTAGCGGTGGAGGTTCTGGAGCTGCTGCGGGTGCTGGTGCTGGAGGTTCTGGAGCTGCTGCAGGTGCTGGCGCTGAGGGTTCTGAGTCTGGTGTTACGCGGTCTCCTTGGAGTGGCCGCCTTCGTCCGCGTGTGCCTCTCACCTCATATCAACTGCACGACAGGTACGGTCGCCGTCAGGGTCGCGCTTCTCGAGCTCGGGGCTCTGCCGCTGGAGGTACTTCTACTGACGTCACTGGAGCTGGGAGTGGTGCTGGTCCCGGAGGTGCTCGTACTGAAGGTACTGGAGCTGCTGGGGCTGGAGGTGCTGAGTCTGAGGGTGATGCTGCTGGAGACACGGAGGTTGGAGACCCTGGGACTGGAGGTGCCGGTTCTGGGGGTGCTGCTGTTGGTGGAGCTGGTCCTGAAGGACCTGGTGCTGAGGGTTATGGAGCTGCTGGAGGTGCTGGAGCTGCTGGGGGTACTGGAGCTGCTGGTGCTGGTGTCACTGCACAGCCGCGCCTGTTCTTCGCTCTGCCGTCTCCGTCGTCTCAGCCACCGTCTGCCTCTGTGCTTCGCCAGGTTCTTAGACTCCCTTCGTCTACTGGTCTTCCGTTACAGCCTGGCTCACCGCTGCCTGCTCCTTCTCCTTGCACTGAGCAGACAGGGGGTCTTACTGAGCGTCGTGAGCCTGCGTCGTGTCCTGTCTCGCCTGTCCGTTCTGGTAGTTCCGGTCGTTGTGTTCCTCGTCCGCGTCAGCCGGCTGTCCACGACACCCACCTCGTAGTCCGTCGTCCTTCCTCTCCTCCGAACCGTGTTCCTCTGCCGTCTCCTCCTGCGTCTTCTCTGCATGTCATTGCGGACCCTGAGTCTGACCGGTTTTGTGCTGAGCACCCTACTGTCACGCGTCTGCTAGCCACAATTGTCACTGACTCGTCGTTTGAGTATGCTGCTGCGTCTGCCTTAGTCGCAGAGCTTGTTGACTTTGCTGCTGCCTGTCGTCTAGACTATGCTGCTAGTCTTGTTGCTGAGTCTGAGTCTGTCTGTCCTCCGTCTGTCAGGGGTGAGTGTGCTCTTGGCACGGACGTCCTTGAGGACAGACAGGAGGACCTTGAGTGTCTTGCAGCCGCTACGCCTCATCTCGTGTCCATGCTGCTGGCCCCTGAGGGAGACCCGGATGCTCCAGACATCCCGGCCCCGCGCTCTTACGATGTGGCGATCTCGGGTGAGTACTCCTCTCAGTGGCAGACAGCCATGGACGCAGAGATGGCATCCTGGAAGTCTACAGGCACTTACGTCGACGAGGTTCCCCCTCCTGGGGCGAACATTATCAGTGGCATGTGGATTTTCAGGGTGAAGCAGCCGCCAGGTTCTCCGCCTGTCGTCAAGGCTCGTTACGTTGCTCGAAGTTTCAGTCAGCGAGAGGGAGTTGACTTCTTCCAGACCTTCTCCCCCACCCCGAAGATGACCACTCTTCGGGTACTGCTGCACGTTGTGTCAGATATATATGACATAGTATCTATAGGCTGTAGTGGGGTAGACACTAAGGGGTACAGGTTTCTTGGGTTTCCGATTTGTATCACACACTTTCCTAGTTCATTCATTCCTCATTATTTCACATGGTATAGAGCCGGTTCCCTAGTGGGAACGTTTCCTAGGGCCCACCACTCAAACGAATATTTTTTTTTACCTGCCCGGAGCGCGCTTCGCCCCTGCCCTAGTCGCGCCCCGTGTGCCTGCCATCCAGTCGCGTCCCCTGCCCTTAGCGGCCCGTCGCGCCCTCTTAAGGCCCCTTTGCAGCCCCCTCTCACGCCCCTTCGCGGCCCCTTCGCGGCCCCTTCGCGGCCCCTCGCGGCCCCTTCTCGGCCCCGTCGCCGCCCTTCGCGGCCCCTACACGGCCCTTCGTGGCCCCTTCTCGGCCCCTTCGCCGCCCTTAGCGGCCCCTTCGCGGCTCCTCCGCGGCCCTTCGCGACCCTTCGCGGCTCCTTCATGGCCCCTCCGCGGCTCCTTCGCGGCTCGTCGCGGCCCCTTCGCGGTCCCTTCGCGGCCCCTCCCCGGCTCTTCACGGCCCTCTCGCCCCGCCGTCGCCGCCCCAGCAGCAGCCGCCGTCGCCGCCCCAGCAGCAGCTGCCGTCGCGCCGTGACAACCGCCACCGCTGCTACCGGGGCCGCCGCCGCCGCCGCAGCCGCCGCCGCCGCCGCCGACAGCAGCACCCACCGCTGCCGCTGCCGTGACAGCCGCCGCCGCCGTCCCGGCCCTGCCCTGCAGCCGAGATGCGGCACTCCTCTGCCGACCTGTCGCGGCCCTGTCCCTGCCGACGCGCCTCGGCCCTGCCCTACCGCTTGCGGACCTCTACCCACCCGCCCCTGGTAATAGCACCGCCGAGCCGCGCCTCTCCTGCTGAGCTGCTGCTAGCCTGCTGCTGCCACTGCTAGCGTGCTGCTGTCATGGCTACCCCTAGTGTTCTCACCTTTGATGCTGAGTGTCAGTAGAGCTACACTGTGAGATCCCCGATCGATCCTAGGGGGGGTTACAGGCGCGTTTGCCTGGGGGGTTATGGGTGCACTGACCCGCTACTGAAACAAGCCTTTTTATCCCAATGGTCTAGTGGTTGGGATTTTGACATGGTATCAGAGCGGTCTCGGGTTCGAATCCCGGTGTATGCACATGTTGGCCGTTGCCAGTGTGCTCAGTCCTGGGCCTCCCAGTGTGGGGGGGTGTCAGTAGAGTTACACTGTGAGATCCCCGATCGA